TGTGTGTGGGGCTTGGCTGACCTGATGAGTGGGTTTGGGATGACCTGAGGACTGAGCTTTTGGATGAGCTGATAAGTAGCTTTGGTTGAACTGATGAGTTGCCTTTTGATGACCTGATGAACGATTTTTTGATAAGATGATAATTGACATTTGGATGACCTGATAAATGACCTTTGGATGACCTGATGAGTGATTCTTGGATGACCTTGACCTTGAGTGACTTTTGAATGACCTGATGAGTGACTTTTGGATAAGCTGATAAGTGACATTTGGATGACCCGATAAGTGACCTGCTGGATGATTATCTAAAAATATTTGCTGGTTGACCTGGTGGGTGACATGACAAGTGATATGCTGAATGACCTGATAAATAACCTCTTAGACGACCTGATACGCTATCTGTTGGATGACCCGACCGCCAGATGTGTAGGATGACCTACTCCGTGACCTGGTTGACTTGTTTGACCTAACGGATGACCTGTTTTGGTGTGTGTTCTGGGATAACGGGACGGTGACCTGATACGGGATTTTGGTCACAGGCGAGAGGCTGGTGCGTGAGAGAGGTCGCTGTGTGTGTTCTTTGGTCACTTTGCTTGGTCTTGTGCTTATTTTGTTCTCTTTTTTTTGTGTTTTTATTTGTTATGTGGTTGTTTTTTTGTGTTTCTTTGTGCTTCTTTCTTCTGTTTTTCTTCGTCTTCTTGTTATTATTATTATTGTCCTTCTTCTTCGTCGTTGTCTTCTTCGTTCTCTCTTCTATCTCTCTCTCCTCTCTCTCTCTCTTCTCTCTCTCTCTTCTTCTCTCTCTCTTCTCTCTCTCTCTCTCTCTCTCTCTCTCTCTCTCTCTCTCTCTCTCTCTCTCTCTCTCTCTCTCTCTCTCTTCTCTCTCCCTTCTCTCGCCTTCCAAAAAACGGTGTCAAGGAAACAGCAAGAATGGAGAAAAAAGTGCATTCACAGCAAAAATTTAACCTCCTTTCCTCTTTCTGCTCCTTCGCCTCCCCTCACTCCCCTCACCGACCTCTCTCGCCCTCTTCCCTCCCTTCCTCTCCCCCTGTCCTCCCCTCCCTCCTCTCTCTTCCTACTCCCTTACTCCCCCCACGCCCTCGACACCCCCTACGTGCTCCTCGCCTTACTCTTGTTCCTCCCCCTCTCCTTCACCCCCTTGCCTATCCCCCCCTATCCTCCCCCCCTTGCCATCCCTTTCCCCCTGCCCCCCTCTCCTTACCCCCTTGCCCCCCCTCTCCTTACCCCCCCTTGCCATCTCTTACCCCCTGCCCCCCCTCGTCCCTGTTCTCTTGGTCGGAGCTGAATGCCAGAAGCAACAGAACGGCCGCCGGTTCGTGCAAGCGAGCGTCGGTTGGGTCAGCGAGTAGCAACACGGGGTGGGGGGTGGGGGGTGGAAGGGGAGAAGGAGAGGATAGATACATATATATCTATATCTATTTCTCTCTCTCTCTCTCTCTTCTCTCTCTCTCTCTCTCTCTCTCTCTCTCTCTCTCTCTCTCTCTCTCTCTCTCTCTCTCTCTCTCTCTCGTCTCTCTCTCTCTCTCTCTCTCTCTCTCTCTCTCTCTCTCTCTCTATATATATATATATATATATATATATATATATATATATATATAATTGTGTTGTGTTGTGTGTGTGTGTGTGTGTGTGTGTGTGTGTGTGTGTGTGTGTGTGTGTGTGTGTGTGTGTGTGTGCTGTGTGTGTGTGTGTATCTATTTATCTATGTATATATATACACACATATTTATACACATTTGCATACATCTTCGTGTACGGATTAAGTCTCAGTTAAGGTCTCCTGTTAGGAAACTTACTCAAGTGTCAGAATGTTAATAAGCAAAATTGTATTCATTTTCTGAGCCTGACTTATGTGGCAGGAGAAAGTGTAAAATAGACGCCCATTCACACAACGCACATATATCTATCAATGCTGTACATACACAGTATGTATATGCACATACACACATACACACAGGCACACAGACACACAGACACACAGACACACACACACACACACACACACACACACACACACACACACACACACAACACACACACACACACACACACACACACACATATACTATATATATATATATATATATATATATATATATATATATATATATGTATATATATATATATATATATATATATTATATATATATATATATATATATATATATATATATATATATATATATATATATATATATTATATATATATATATATATATAATATATATATATATTTTATGTTCACACACACACACGCACTCATTTACATCGAGACTGGAAGAGGCAAAATGCAGAATCCGAGCCCCCCCCCGCCCACCCACCCCACTCCCCGCCCCCCCCCGAGCAGCGCCCTGAACGCGCCCATTCACAACTCTTCCCTCCCAGCGCCGCCCCCGCCCGCGAGACCCCCACCCGCCGCCCTTGCTTGTCCCTTAAACGAGGCAGCCAAACAAAGCCCAGGGACTCCTCGCGCCCTGACCCCTGGCGGCGCCCCTTCACGAGGAGGGACGGCTCGGGAGGGTCCTCGCCCCCTCTCCCTCCCCCTCCCTCCTTCTGTCGTCTGTCTGTCTGTCTGTCTCTCTCTCTCTCTCTCTCTCTCTCTCCCACTCTCCCTCTTCCTCTCCCTTCCCCCTCTCCCTCTCTCCCCCTTCCTGTATGTATGTATAATAATATATAATATATATATATATATATATATATATATATATATATATATATATATATAATATATATATATATATATATATATATATATATATATATATATATATATATATATATATGTAATGTATGATAAATGAGTTGATCTGCCTCCTCTGCTTTCCCCATAACCGCGCGCCTCACACACGGAGCACAATGTCAACGCCAGACTTCGCAGACCTTAGCAACCCTGCGGCGTGAGTCACGGCGGAGGCGCTGACGGCAGGCAAGCAACTCCGTCTGATTTCCTCGGGGACAAGCAAGTGCCTTCAGGGACGCTCCTGCCTCGTCTCTGGTGATGTTATACAATCAAGAGATATTAAGAAATTGGTGCGAGAGAGCCTGCAGGAGCGAGGGTCCGAGT